CATTCCATATGGCAAAAATATATGATAAGTGGCACCTATGAGGCATGATGGTGTGGCGGGTCATGACACAAAGAACCGAAATGTGTAGAAAAAAATATGGTGACCAATTTATATAAAAGACGCTATACCTTAATGGCCGTTTGGCAAAGCTAAGTATAGCGTCTTTTTATATAAATTGGTCACCGTGTTTTTTTTCTACAAATTTCGATTCTTTGAGTCCAAAAGAATCACATTTTGGTTCCGGACTCAAAAAAAAAAAACGGAGTGCTTCTTTTAGGGAAGGCAGAGGCAATTTGAACTTTAACTCAGAAACTAATTGAGTTATTAAATTCTGTCAATATATTTAGTTTTGTAAGTCGATAGAAAGGTTAACATTTAAACGTGTTAGCTTGTATCAGATTCAGATATATGCACAAAGTACCAACTTCAGATAATAGATATGCTCTCTAATTACAGGCGATTTTGACAGTCAACGGTGAATAGTTGCTTCTTTTCATTTTTACTTCATTTGAGGGGTAATTAGCTGAACTTTCACTGGAAGATTTTGGAAGGGTGCTTTTGTTTTCTTGTCCTCCTTTTGTTCGGGTAGTACTTTATTTCTTTTTAAAACGGAATCTTAATACAGCTTGTATTATACAATGAGCTCGTTCTTACTAGCTTAATTGTTGTGTTATTATGACAAACTTTAAGCTCATCTTTTCATAAAAAAGCCTAGGAATCATATCGTAATGATTTATGATTTGATACCTCTTTCTGGTGTATAACTGAGTCGCTTTACTAAAAGTAATGACATAACCTTTTGTTCCTTGTCTTGTTATTTTTGTCTTCAAATCCTTCCAATTTTTTTTTTATTGCGTATACTTCAAAAAGGAATAACGAATAATATGCAAATGATTAGAGTTGTTATAAGCCAGTACTGGAATTTGAACAACAACATTTGATACTACATTTTGAATTGAACTATTTGCACTATTAAGGTATTTCTTTTTTTTGGTAAGATAACATTGTTTAATCGCTTTTAAAATAATAGCCGAAAAATATATATTTTTTGTATATATATACATTCTATTCTGTATGTTATATACAAAACTTATACAAATTTTATACACTTTTTTGGCTACCAAATATAAATAGTTGTTGGCGCGTGAAAGTGGAAAAAGCTAATTTTTTAAAACAATTTTAAAGGGATTTGATTTGACGTAGTATAAGCATCTCGCCAAAGAATAAGAAAATTATTCAAGATCTATAATAATATACGTTTGATAACAGGAATTAAATTGAGAACATGCATGGGACTAACCCCAAAAAGATTAAAAGAAGGCAGAATTGTCTGGGAGACACCTCTACTTATTCGAGTTTGACAAGCCGGTCCTCCTACCTCACAAAGTTTCAAATAGGCACCTATACATACTTAAAACTAATATTTTAAACATATTTGACCATTACAAGCCTATGTGGCATTGAATATACTAAGTTTTACAGAGTGCGTGGGTACACACGCTTAAGAGTAAATGAAGGTAATGTTTTGATTAAGAAAATATTTTAAACTAAAAAAGTAATGACAATAAAATAAAATAAGATAAAAAGAAAAGGAAGAAATTTCCCAACCCCTCCAATATTTTCCACTCCTCTCTTCGCGTAAACCCCCTTCCCCTTCTCTACATCCTCCATTTTTCCGGACATCCCGCCACCGCTAAGCTGCTTTCTACATTTATTGTTCCTATCCATCAGATTCACAAAGAAATAAATTAGAAATTATATACAAAAATACACACACGGTTCTACTACTTAAATTCTTTATCCTCAACTGCTTGCATCATACCCAATTTAGAGTTAATGCAAAAGTTATTCCTGAAAGAGAAATAGTAGAAAAATCAAAATTTGTGCTCAACTAGGGAAGAACAGTCTTCAATAGAGGGAAGCCTAATAAATATTCCAAAATTTTAAATGAAAAAAAGAGTTATAGCGATCCAACCCAAAATCAGAATTTTATATCTGAAACTCAAGGCGAGCAGCTCACGACTCCGACTCCGATTTTGGCACCCTCCCTTTCAAATACAAGCTAAACCCTATTCCGTCATTCTCCAAACCCTAAAAAACCTCAAGGCCTCCTCCTCCGCCTCCCGTTACAAAACCCTAACTCTCGCCAATGTTGGCCTCTCCACCACCTGTCGTGAAGTGACCGACCTCCCAACCTCCCAATCGACGAGATACAATACAATATAAGAGTCATTATTGGCGAAAATTCCGGTCAAAATTTCGGATCTAAAACCCATATGATAGTAGAAACATAAAATACAAAGACAATGGGGTAAGGATAAGGAAACGGGAAAAGCATGATCGAAATACAGGATTTTTATGTTTGAATTTTATTTTTATTTTTGATTTTGATTATTTTTAATCTACCATGTGACATGGCATCTACACATTGTTATTTTTTGACGTGGCAGCTAACGTGGAGGAGATTGTATTACACGCATTGATAGCCTCCTATCACAAGCGTTTATTATACACGGTTTGAAGGAGTATAAGTGTTCAATTGACACATTGTTAAGTTTGGGAACCGACACGACAAAATAACAAGTATAGGTGTTATTTAGACTATTAATTACAACTATTCTGCCTTAAAAGAAAGCAAACTTAATATGAATTGTTTATTCAGATATACTAGTAGCAGTAATTAATTACATACAATAGAAAAAGCAACTAGTATACGTATCACTTTTACGACCCCATGTGTACCCCTCTAACCCCAAGTTTTGTTTGCCCTTTCCAAGGCACAAGCAGTCCAACCTTTGAGAAAGTTAATTGGTCCCATATCCTTAAACGAATGGCATCTCGTCACGTGAATCTCCCATGTGACCTTCGTCAGACCTTGTTCTCTTACCCCTTCTCATTTTTTTCCCTCACACCGTTACTTTGTACGCCGTTTCATGCATTAGTTCTTCTATAATGTCACGTTCAATTTCACTTACTATGCTTTCCACTTGTTCTTGAAATGGATCACTTGCTATTCCAAGCTCTGTTTTTTCCAAATCTTTGTCAATCAATGCATCAATATCTTCAAGAACTTGACAATTAGCTGAAGGGAAGCTTCGTATTCTCATGCACAACGTGTCAATCAATTCCTTCCCATTCATTCGACAACGTTGCATTGACTTGAAACTAAAATATGGTTTCAAGATATCAACTAGGAGCTCATCCACAAGTTGGAAAATTAACTTTCTGTTACATCTCAGGGTTAAAGTAGAATTCGGGGTGGTGAAAATGGAAGTGGTTATAGGGAGGTGAAAAAGTTCAAAGTGGTGAAAAATGGAGGGGTCAAGAGGGTGAGAATGAGAGTACCATTTGGCTAAGGACAGGGGAGTACTTTTGTCGATACCCGTACGTTTTAGTATTCTCTGAATGTACTGAAATTCGGCTCCATCACCGGAAATGGTAGCACCGTTACATGTGTCGCGGTTCATTTCTTGGAATTTCGTGGTGAGCTTATAATGCTTGTACCTATGGCTCGAACTACTAGATAACTGTGTGTTCCTTTTCGATGGATGAGTATCTGATTCTTGCTGCTGTGACTGTCATCACAAACCAAAAAAATAATGCACAAAATGTCATGAAAAAGATTTACTCATTTTTGAAAATTACAAGATTTAATTAATCCTACTAAGTTTGAAATTAAAACTAAAAAAACGTCCTGGTTTTATTTTTTGTGGCAGGGATGATAATATTTGAGTCAAACAATGTACTTTTCAATGTTAATTTAAACATAAAATCTACATATTTAAAAGGTAATTCAAAAATGTTACAATTAATCATAATTAATAATTTACTTAAAATATGAAAAAAATATTTGAAAAAATTGGGTTCATTGGGAAGAATACCTTTGACTTTCAAATAGTAAAAGTATAGTACAAAATATTTGTATTACCTGCTTAATGAGTAATTTGGTGGGTGGTGGAGAAGGGTCTTTCTTTAATGGCAAAATGGTGGGAACGCTGTTGTTAACAAGTTGATTTGACAATGAAGTTTTCTTGCACTTCTTGTCTTTATTAGTTGCTGCTGCTGAACGAACGAATGGCTCCTCTTTCTTGCTACGAATAGCATCACAAGCTTGCGGTGGCTTCTTAGGATGTGCACTACTGCGGCATTTGTCACCTTTGCCCTTTTGAATAGCATTCTGCTCTAAATGGCGCTTCTGTTTCACTTGCTCTTGTTGTGAACTTTGAGTCTTGGGCTTTGTGACTATTTTAGCTGGTAATGTGGTGGGGTTCTCTGGAAGTGGAGATAATGGTGAAAATCTAGGAGAATGAGAAGTTTGACTTTTTGCCGTCGATGAGTTGACTGGTTTACTACTCTTGGGCTCCAAGAATCTGAACCTAGGTGAGCAAGGAGTTGTTTGTTTACTTGGGCTAAAGTCATGATCATCTCCATGTAATTTGGCTAAAACCTTAGATGTTTGTTTCTTTGGTTTAAGCAAAACAACTTGATCATCATATTTAGCAGTAGCTAATTGGTCATCTTTCCTTCTGAAACTTGTGTTAGTAATGTCATGACCAACTTTTCTGCTAACACTTTCTTTGACTTGCTTCACAATTTGCCTAGCATAATACCCTGGACTTCTGTTGTAATTCTCAATATTTTCATAGCTGCTCATCCTCCTATTCCTGGCCATATTTCTGCTAGCAGTAGAATAAGCCGAATGTTCAAATACGTCACCCATGTTATTCTCTTTGTTGATTTGAAGTGATAACCTGTGATGATAATGATCCACATCTGACCTCCTGCTAGCTGAAGATATTCTTGGTGTCTCTGGAAGTGACAGAGTACCATTGTCACTACTTTCAAAGTTGCTCAATCTTCTGTTTTTACTGTTTGACTGGCCGCCGTGGCTCTGATTATTAACCACATTCTTGGACTTTGGTGGAGGATTATTACTATTGCAAGTGGAAAGTGAAATACGAGGGGAGTTATTTTCAGGGAGAAGATCAAGACCCATAAGTCTAGCTACTAGAGTTGGAGTCTTGGTCCCCGCTGGAGAGGTGCTGCTACATTCNAAAAAACAACAAAAAAAAGTCTATCTTTAAGACTTTGGAAAATGAAATGCTTATTAAAATATTAATGTCAAGATAATGAAGGTAACGGTTACAATTATACTAACCGGGATATTCAAATTTTGGTCGTCTATTTTCATGGTTGATGAAGACAATGAACTTGACACAGATTTCCGTTCCACAACAGGCTCTTCTAAATCCAAGCTGTTTCTTGGTGCTTCAAGTCCTGCAGTTTTTTTAGTCAAACTCCCACATATAACCAAAAAGAAGGCTAGAGAAAGAACCCCATATATAAAGTTGGGGTGATTTGGTTAAAAGTTACCTTTGAGGAAAGAAGGTTTTTGTTCTTGTTGAAGGAAATCAGAAGAAGTTGAATGAGGTTTGAAAGAACGAGATTGCTGGTTCAAAGCTAACTGAAAATGAGGTAAATCAAAGATTTGGAAGCACATGCAACCAGCTGGAGGAGGAGCTTCTTCATTATTATTCAGTACTACTTCTTCTCCTCTTGATCCTCTTCTTCTATGGGTAGATCTATTACTAGTACCACTGCCACTGCTGCCCCAGTACAGCCACTCTTTGCCCATTTTGATAGTAGACTGATATTATTCTCTCTAAAGCTGGTTGCACAAGAAATATAAACAAGTTTTTCAAAAGTTAAAAAATGAAAACGACAGAAGTACTACGTACTGCTTTAGCTCAAGGAGTAGTCACTGCAGACCAAGAAGTGAGAGCTGAAAAGTAAGGGTAGTGCACTGCTTTGTACAATGGAAGCGCAAAATACGGATTCATGGAATGAGATGATTTCAGTTACCTTATGATTTTGCTGGAGAAAAAGTTTCATGAAACAGTGCTGATGATGTATGGCTTTATCTGTCTCTTTTTCTTTGTACTCTCTTTTTAATCTAACTAAGAGATAAAGGGGTTTAATTTTCAGTCACTCACTCCCAAGCAAGAAATAGCAGAGCAAAGACCAGAAAACCAACTTTTTCTCTTGGGAATAAAAATGGGAAGAAGAAATGCAGGAGATGAAAATATGAATAAGGCTCTAGCTCTATATAGGAGTATGTTTTTATTTTATATTTCAGGAGTAACGAGGCAATGTCCACTATTCTTACTCTTTGTGGGGTTTTAAAATACGAGGTGTGGTATATTGGGGATCTGCAATAAGTCCCTAGCTCCTTCCCTGTTTTTTTGAATCATGACGTGTAGTTTGTTTGTTTATTCCCTCCTCTCTTTTTGTTTCTCTTTTCTAACCGTGGTTAAACACCTCCACTTCCACTCTAGTTTTATTAAAGGATTTATGTTGTAAGTATATATTTGTAATATAAGAAATTTGGCTTTGTTATATAAATAGGTAGTGTACAGAACTTTTAATTGGAGTATATTATTAGTGAAATTTTACCTGTTATAGCAAGTTATCTTATCATATTTGTTATGAATAAGTTCATGTTATTGCGGGTAATTTAACCTCATGGTATAGAATTTTACAGTGTTAGTCAACCAAACTTAGATCAAATTCGTTTTACACTATTAATCCAATTTAATTGGATATAACAGGTTGCTCTTCCATTTTTTTAAATTTACCATATGAAGCTATGAAAGGACAACTTTATCTCATGGTGCAAGAAATTTATATATTGTTAGTGCAAAATTTAAGCTCTTTCTTTCTTTTCCTTTAATTTTTTTAAAAAAAATTACTTTGTCAATTTAGTTCTGTGAGTTTATATATAACTTGTTCAATAGAATGGCCTTTTGGTTTCTGTGATGTTTCTAACAATATGCTTTTTCCTTTTATCCTTCACTAATAATCGTCTTAAATATGGAGTAATACACTTTCAGTAAATATATGACCTCCAAAAAGTTAGATAAACTGAAAAAAGAGAATGGCCCACTCATCTCCACTTGGTGTTTACCCTTTAATGCTATATTCTACATTTTCGAAAAGTCAATTCCAAGAAACGGCCGGGTCCAAAAATTCTGGAACGTGACAATAAATATGATCTGAATATACGGACTACTTATTTAATTTTTTGAATAAGACGTTCAGCGAAGGCAATAAAATTCAAATTCATTCATAAATAAACACTTAACTTGTTAAAGTTAGTTTGCTCTGAGAGAGAGAGAGAGGAGATATTGTTAAGCGATTTCCTATAGGAAATGAGATTTTGAAACGGAGAGATTAGTGATTCGACTTTGTCTTTCCTCTTTGTTTGTTTTTCCCTTCACCTGTCATATAATCATTACTTATCAACTAAAATTAACTCCAACTTGTAAACTTTGCAATGAATAATCTGCTAAACAAATTATGTTAGAGCAATGTTCATAATAATTGTGTCAACAAACGAAGAGAAAACATAATTATCGGCGTGCAACAATATAATATGTTACATTGTATTTGGGAATTTACTTAAATCTGGTGTTTATTCTTTATAATGCAAGGCATTAATCTTTACGTTGGTGGATATAAATAATAAGGTACAGGCTCAACAAAATTTAACATTTTCACACGGAGCTTTTATATAAGTGGTAAAATTTCAGTAAACATCATATGTTGATCTCATAATATTGAATTCATAATGAGTTAAGTAATAAAAACATAATATAAAGAATGAATTCACCATATTTACATTCTGAAATTACGTCAACAATTATGTATACAAATATTATCCACAGTTAAGTGATAATCTAATTGCTACCGTTTGATTTGTTATGGACATGACACGATTATTATTTATTTTCACCACATTAATACTCCCACTGGGTGTTATAATGTCGTATACTGAATTTTATGAATATATTCAGCACCTGGCACGTTTGCATGTAAGATTCCCGACAATCACTAACCTATATAATGACAAAAGTGTCCCTGCGACTATCATGGGCCACGACCCAATACAATTTAGAAAAAATGACACTGTTTAGTCGCTGTAAAAATAATAATCGAAAATATATAAAATTTATATATATATATATATATATATATTGTATGTTATATGCAAAAATTATACAAATTTTATACACTTTTTTGGCTAACAAATATAAATAGTTTCTGGCGCGAGCTAAAAGTGATAATACCCCTAAAATCTACTCTCTTTTTTTAAAAAAAAAAATTTTACTTTCATTCGTTTGGGCGAAAGACACAAATTCAGTGACTGAAGTTTTGAGAAAATAACTCATATCAAAATTTTAAAGTATATTGGACAGAATTTTAAAGCACGTAAGAATTATGGTGATCGTTAAAATTTTATTATAAATCTTGATAGATTATCAGAATTTTTCAGACGATCGCCACAAAATTTTGGCAATCGATGAAAATTTTGTCCAACTTTCTTTGAAATTTTAGCACATGCAATTTTTCCAAAATAATTCTAAATGCAGTAATTTAAAAAAAAAGTCCATTCTGCGTAATTTATGAGCGGAAAACCTGTGATCTTCATCCTGGGCCTCATGGACTCCGAAAGGCCCACAAAAGTTTAGGGAGGGACCACAGCCACGCTTTTTAGGATTTCTTTTCTGCATAAAATAATTGGCTATCCGTTGATCATTTTTTACTGAAAATGTTTAAATATTTACTCTCTTTCCAAGAAGATAGTACTGTTATTATTTGGTGAGGCAAATACTCTCTTTTATTATCCCTTTAAAGTATTTTTAAATATTTATAATTACAGAAAGTTGTAATTGCTTAGGTTTGTAAACATGTAAATTTTATTTTAAAAATTTAACAGCTTATTTCACAAAATTTGTACCGCAAACAATACCATTTTTTGGGACGTAAGAAGTATAAAAATATTCCATACTCCATATATCCCTTATTTAGATAGCAATGCAACGCTGCCAACGCATGCTTACCAAATTCGTCGCAGGAGAACACATTTTCCTTGACAAATGTAGAGGCTTTGTGTGTGTGTGTGTTAAACTTTGATATTATCCTTTGATGAATAAGCTCTGTTACTCTTCGGATGTCATATGAGTACTTGTCCATTCAGTATGGAATCCACAATTTCTCTTGAGTTTTGTTGTATTATTATCTTTGAAGAACAACTCTAGCTATATATATGGTTTAAAATTTTGAAATCAGGATTATATTATGTTATCCTACTGTGTCATTTAGTTTTATGTTCAATAAAAAGGTCCATCACATATTTAATTTCTTCAATCTTTGTTTGACAAATTAGCGATTTAAAATACTTCTAGAAGACAAAAAAGAAAAAGAAAACTTGCTTATATTCGCTTTGGGAGCAAACACAATTACTATAAATATTATGCTCTACGTCGAGCGGATTAGGTTTTCCTAAAATGAAGAATATGTTTGTTATTACTATTAAGAGAAGGAGGGAAGGGGAACTTCAAACTTGCACACTCCCTTTGGGTGCAAATACAATATTAACCTGCTCAACCCCTAGTGGACTAGGTTTTCCTAAAATATAGATTCTATTGTAAAAAGAAAAAATCACTAGTATTAGGAGTATCAGAAAACAACGTCTTTTTCTCTAAAAACCACCTAGTCCCCTACTGGACTCTAGGCGAGAATATTATTAATTTCATCATACGTACATCTCACTTTTGTATGATCTAGTGAAATAACGATTAGCAGATTCAAATTGGATTTGAGCTCAAAAAAAAAAAAAAAAAAAAAAAAAAAAAAAAAAAAGGAGAGAGAGAGTTCCAAATTGTATACGATCAAAATCAGGATGCCCCCTTTTTGTTTGATTGACCAAGGCTGGAACGTGGTAGATCAAGTTTGGACCTCGATTTTTATCTATGGCGCAGGGTTAAGTTATCGAGACCCTGGGACCGATTAAGTTCGAGGTCGATCAAGATCGAGATCAAATAAGATGGAGATCGAAGCTATGTTGAGTAACGAAAACTGAGATATCCGGGATCGGCTAAAGATCGTGGCAAGAATCCGGGCACAAATCAAGTCAAGACCGGTTGTTCAGCCAATCATGAGATTTTCTTCCGTAATTAGAGTTATACCATAATTAGGATTCCTCTACTATATAAAAAGGAGTTCCAATCATTTGTGGAACACTTACATTCTTGATATCAAAGCAATATACCACAATTTCTTTACCTTACATTCATGAATATAAAAGCAATATAATATTATTCTTCTGCTCATCAACTTACTGCTCTTTAACTATTCTTACTCTACCAAGCTCGAGGGCATTGACCAAACGCTGGTTTGCTTTGTATTATTGTCAATTTGCATCATTTATCATTACGTTTATCAATTGGTATTAGGCGAAATCACATATTCTTAAAACCACATTATAAGTTTAATTGTTATGCGAATTTTAGAGTAAACAGTTTGGCATCCACTGTGGGACTAAGGATAATAGTGATTGCCTGGTATTAATTCTCATAACACACACTATTGTACACTTATTCTTGTGAGTGTTTTTGATTTCAGGATCAACATGTCAAACTCACAAGCAGTATCCACTCACACCGACAACGGCCTCGGTTTCGATGGAGAAAATGACAATGTAGCCACCCCAAGGATCGAAGTGCCTCAGGTTGGCCTCGAGGGAGTACCAATTGCAGATCCTGTCGATGTCAGTTCACATGTCGCCCTAAATGCAAATCTGAGCATTGATCCCCAAGGTAGTGTACGCAAGGAAGTTTGATCAGGTGGTCGAGGTACGCAGGGCGGAGAAGATGGTGGAGTCATCCTCTAATTTATATTTAAAATGCTACAGGCTCAGCAAGCCGCTATTGCACAACTACATAATCAGCATCGAGCACCAAGTGGGATCAAACCAGAACCCGAACCAAAAGTTGTTCGTAGGACCGAACCT